GTGTGGCCATCACCCAGCTTCCCGACGCATAGATTCCTTCTTAATGCTGTTATGTCGAGTGTGTAAGCCTGGACCATGATGAATTCACCAAGGTAAATGTCACTTCTGATACCACTTGGCAGCTGGCCAGGCAGCGAGTCCTGATGACATCCCCTCCTCTTCAAGTCCGTTCCTTTCCTCCAGACTTCTTTGCTTTCTAACCTCCCCTCTCAACCAGCTGTGCTTCTGTCTGTCCCCCACTGTCTTTTCTCCCGTCACTCTTTACCTAATTCTGTCTTTCATCCTGGCTCATCACTTGACCTTTTCCCATCCTTTCTTTCCTCCCCTATTTTGACTTTAGTTAACAGTGGAGTTGAATAATACTGTACCAGAGCCCATGTGCCAAGTACTGTGGTGGGCCATATGCTAATCTTAGATCCTAAAGCTGGGAGTAATAGCACATACATGAACGCTCTACTTGGGAGATAGAAACAGGACCAGCAGGAGCTTAGGGTTGTCCTCAGCTACGTAGGGAACTGGAGGCTAGTCTGGTCTATACAAGACCCTGTCTAAAGTTTCTTTTTGTTTATGACTACATTTCATTTTCACTTGTGAATCAATTACCTCAGGAAAGAATCCATCTTGGAAATGTTAATTTCTTTATTATGCTGGTGAAGGAGATATGGAATGGGCAAGGAGAGCAACAAATGAAAATGTCCTTTTGTGGAATAAAGCTCCTTACTGCTTGGCACCCCCATGTCCTTCCTAAGAGTAGACTTGGTCCTGAGTTTTCTTGTGCAATGTTAGTGTTCTCCGTGAAGATGACCTTCTCTGTCCAGTAAGATAGGCCCGCATCTGTGAAACCAGAATTTCCACATTTAGAAATCCTTTCGGTAATGTGGAGATGGAAATTATGATAAAGTTTGGATCCTCATGGCTAGAGAGATGGCTCAGCAGTTAAGAGTGCTGGCTGCTCCTACAGAGGGCCCAAGTTCAATTCCCAGTACCCACATGGCAGCTCACAACTGTCTATAACTCCAGTCCCAAGAAATCCAACATCCTCTTCTTACCTCCAAGGGCACCAGGCATACATGTGATGCACAGACATATATGCAGCAAAAACACTCATACACATTATAAAATAATGAAGTAATTCAAAGTAAATAAACTGAGGTCCTAATACCAACCTCTTTAAAAAAAAAAAAAAAAAGTTGGGATCTGCATCCTGGAAGACGACTTGAAATTATTTTTGGCGTTGAACTGTGTCTCACAGTCCATCAAGGTTTCATGCTCTGGTCTTAGAAAACGGTGAAGAAGAGGAGGAGGATGCCCCCCTTCTTCCCTCACATCGCAATTCAAGAAGGAGCCTAAGAGAAAAGAAACACAGCTGTTTCCAGGTGTGTCCTGGGCCCCTCATTTCTTGCTCCAGGAAATGAGGCTGCTGGCTCCTAAAGATACCTGTCACAGAGTCCTGGTTACACACAGGAGTGGAAAAGTGAATTCTGGCCTGATGATCAAGATGCAGCGGCAGAGAAGTTCCAGGGCAAACCAAAGATGAAGCGTCCAGATCGAGTAGGTTCAGAACCATGGACAGAAACACCGCCAAGGAGATCCTGCGGGCTGAGGGCCCAGCACCATGGCCAGGGATCCCCTTCCCTTTTTGAGGTCCCCCCGCCATCTCTCAGAGCTACTTCAGAGAAGGACCTAACCTTGGCTGTAGGTTTACTGGCTCCTAACACCTGAAGGCTATGATAAACAATGGTTTGGTTAAGAGGAGTCTCATTCTGAAGAAGGATGAGAGGCGGGGAGGGAGGCCTTCCTCCAAGGCCACAGCATGAGACCTTGATAGACTGTGAAGCCCGATTCACCACCGAAAATAATTTCAAGTGGTCTTTTAGGATGCAGATCCAACTTTATCACAACTTCCATCTCCACATTACTTAAGGGATTCCTAAATGTGGACGTTCTGGTTTTATAGATTTGGGGCGTATCTCACTGGACAGAGAAGGTCATCTCCTCCACAGAGAATACTAACATTGCACAAGGAAACTCAGGACCAAGCCTTGCTCTCAGGAAGGACGTGGGGGTGCAGAGTCGTAAGAAACTCTGCAGGATCTCTTCACCAGAGGTTACCTGCTCTGCAGCCTCCTGGAAGAGTGTGGTCTACCTTGGAGCAACTCCTATTAAGGTCTGGCTGATTTGCATATATCTGCAAACACAGGGCTTCTCTGCTCTGATTGTATTATATATAAATGAATTGCTCACAGGAAGAATGAGAAGGATTAATCCACTCTTCTTGCTTCCCCCCATTCCTAAGGTTTCTGTCGGGGAATTTCCCCCACGTGCATGCAACAAAGTCTCCCAAGAGCCAGGGTATCTTGTGGGCATCCTGTGTAGCTTTACTCAGTTAATCTCATCCATCTGTTCGGCTCCCGAAAGATTCCTGTGTGGCTCAGAGGGAGCCAGCACTTCATTTTTGTACCCAGGGTCAAAAGCTTTGGGCTGAAGTCTCTGGAGCTGTGGTAAGAAGCCATGCCTGATGCCTTACTGACTGCCAAGGGGACAGGACCTGGCTTTGAAGAAGGGGGAGGGGGAAGGGCTGGTGGAGTGAGGACTCATTTTGAAATGAAAGGAGTCCTGGGTCTCTAAGCAGCTTCTAAAAATACCATCTCCCAGCGCTGGGGGGAGGGGGAGGGGCAACTGAGCGTGAGGAGAATGAAGATAGGAGGGAGGTGGGGGATACGAGAGCCTTTCTTCAGGTGGGTCTTATTTCAGGGACCCCACCTATCTCTAGGAACTAGACAGAGGCCACGCCTCCTCTTGCTTCCTTGGAGGGCTTGAGTCGCCCAGCGTCTCAGCCTAGCCCTTCTTGATAAACCTTTCTTCCCAGAAGCAAAGGAACCAATGCCCCCACCCATTACTACTGTCCAGCAACTATATCTGTAGTAAGCAAGTTCTTTTGCATGAACACACACACATACACACACACACACACACACACACACACACACACACACACACACACACGAGAGAGAGAGAGAGAGAGAGAGAGAGAGAGAGAGAGAGAGAGAGAACATAAAAATGACCAGTGATCTATGAGGCCATGCATTCCCTTTACATTCGGTGCCCAGAGGTATGGGATGTGGCAGAGATGAGTGATTCACCCAGATATCCTCTCCACGGAGTACGGTGCCCAGGAAGTGTTAGCTGGAGGGCGAGGAGTACTCATCTAAGCAAAATGTGCAGGCGCTGGCACCCCACAGTCAAGTGCATGTGTGGCTCACACTCACACTCCGGCTTCTCTGGCTGTTGTAGCACCTAAGGGGAGAGGTGCCCCGGCCTCCCTGAAAAGCCACAAGGTGGATGGAACTTCCTCCCCTCAAGTTCAGTTCAAATGGTGAAGCTCAATGGCTGCTTCCTTCGTTTTGGGGGGCCCCCAGCCCTCCCCACCCCGCCAGCTCGTACACAAGTGACCTTCATTAAATAGAGGTCGTGTCCCACGTTTCTTTGCGACGTCTTCAGCTCGGGCCGAACTCTTCGAGGGCTGCTCCGCCTCTTTCACAGGGACCTCAGCTTCCCGATGCTGCGTTTCTCATCGTTCTTCTTGGGTGGGAAGAGTGGGGTGCTCATAGAGGAACCCCAACTTGAACAGACTGTGGAGAGAGGCTGTGGGGTGTGCTGCTATGTATATGGACAGCAGAAGCAAGAACCCGGGAAGCGGATGTTCGTGCACAATCTACCACTGCCCCCATCTCAGCGTCCACATGGTTTCCCAGCCTCCGAAGCGATGCTGGTAGGGTGGGACCCTGTCTCCAGCTTGACTCTCTTTTCCCAAGCAGATCCTAGGATTGGTGTGTGTGTGTGTGCGTGTGTGTGTGTGTGTGTGTGTGTGTGTGTGTGTGTGTGTGATGAGGGCGGGAGAGAAAGGAGGAGGGATCGAACCACGAAACACCGGGGAGCCGCAGACACAGGAAGAGGCCAAGGGCTGGGAGACACCAGAGCTCCCTAGAGCTTGAGGTCAGGATATCAGTCTCGGAAATCCCCTGCAAGTCCTGGGAACAAGGGTGCTCCCGAGAATAGCTAAGAGACTGCATGTGTCGCCGCTTCCCCGCGGACCGCCCCTCCGTAAGCCACGCCCACAGCGCCTACTTCTCAGGATGCAGAAAGCTAAGGTTTAAGGGTCTCTGGTCCATCGACGCCAGCTTGTCTCGCTCTCCAGCAGCCCCGCTAGCTCTCAGGGCTGCCCTACCCCCACGGTTTGGAGATCTGCGGGACCCCTTGGTTTCCCCCTCCAGCTGGGCGTTCCGCCCCTGGCCTATGAAACTCCACCTCCTCATTCTCTGCTGGCCAGGATTGGTGGGTCTCCCACGGCGATGCCTAGCGATTGGTCCCCATGGATGATGGTGACCAGCGAGACTCCGCCCCCAGCCGGCGCTGGGGTCTGGGGGCACTGCTCAGCGGTGCTGGGCTGGCGAGGCTTGAGCCGCCGCCGCACTGACAGCTCCGTCTGTGGACCATGGAGACTGGCGCCGGTCCACACCCGCTGCGCCTGTTCGTCTGCCTGATGCCACTCTGCCTCGCTCTGCTTCTGGGACCCGGGCGGCCCGGGACCGCCGAGGAAGGTAAGATGGGTTGTGCCTGAGAGCCAAAAAAATTAGGGAGTTGGGGGACTAGGGGACTGGGGGAAGGCGTCGTTGGAGAGACTGACTACTCTGTTTGGAGGCTTGAAGCAAGCGGGCAACAGGGCGAGAAAGAACTAGAGAAAGAGGGGAGGTTGGCTAAGCGATAGAGAAGAGAGGAGTATTGAGGAGCTTTTAGGTCTGGAGACCTAGGAGGCTGGGGAAGAAAGAGGCTGGGGACCACAGGAGCCCGAGGCAGCAGTCAGGGGCCGTTGAGCCGGACAGGCTGAAGGATTGGAGGTGGGAGGTGTGGGGGCGGGGAGATGAAGGGAGCAGGGAAGCCGAGGGGATGCGGCGAGACCCGAGCGTGAGGCGGGATGAAGACAAATAGCGGGGGCCTAGGGGACCGTGGTGTGGACAGCCGGAGGCTGGATGCTAATCATCTGCGCCGAGTCCGGGCGCTGCCCGAAGTGCTGACCGTGGAACTGTCCGCAGTGCTGAATTGGGATCGAGTCCACCACGCGCGGTCCGCGTTGCGGAGGATTTGGGGCCGCTGTCGGCGACATTAGCGCCGGAGTCTTGCCTCTGCTCCCACACCTCTGGGAGCTGTACGTTCAGTTGAATCCAGAGGCGTCACAACCAGGTGCAGAACCCTGAGATGCTGGAGCAGACTCTGCCCGCAGGGTCTGTCCTGGCGCGGGATGGCAGATGCCTGCCAGTCTGCAATTCTCAGGCACTGTTGGTGACGAAAACCCAGCACACTGTCGGCGGCGGCCCTGCCCACCGTCGAGGCTGCCTCCAGAACCAGTCCCTCTTGGAGGACCTCACCTTGGAAGCCCACCCGCTTACTTACCACTCTAGGGAAGTAATTTTCTGAGATTTGGGGATGGCCTGGCTTCCTGTGTTGAAGCAGAAGGTTCTGCTATCCAGACCCGGGCTTCTCTGAGACCAACAGATGGAAGGATGCAGGCTGCCGACCTGTCACATCCTGAGGGAAAAAAGTGACTCCAAGCTTTTCTGGTGGGGAGGGGGTGGAGAGGTTCATGGATTATGTGTAAAGGGGCCCCTGGCACTCTTTCAAAGACGGTAGAGGTGGTAGCCCCTGGGAAAGGGCCTGGGTAGAGAAGCAAAGAATTCTGATGTCTCCCCTTGCTAAGTGGTCTCTCTACTTCATTTTCACCAGAAGCCCCAGAAGGCAAATGAGAAAGGTCTCCGTCTCCTCCATGACTGGTGAACTGACCTCGGATCTGGGTGGATTTGGGGTGCAACCAAGAATTCCCAGATCTGCTGCTAGTTGACAGTTTCCTCCCACTAGTTGACAGTTAAATATAACTTGGGGGAACGTGGGGAGGGTTAAGAGGGTCACTGACTTCTATCCCTAATGTAAATGCTGACCTTAGAGTATTTGCCAGGGACTCTGTGGAAGGCTGAGAACAACACTCGCTTCAATGAAAACAGAAGGGGGGGGGTTCTAACCCCCAGAACTTGTTAATGTCACCATAAGTGGTTAAAAAAGGATTGGCAGTGTGATGCGGATTTTGACATGAAGGGATGAATCTGGATTGGATAACTGGTTCCAAAGCAACCATAATGGTCCTCATGAGGGCAGCAAGACTCGGAGCCAGAGGAGATGGCAACATGGACCTAGAAGCAGAGGGTGAAGTCCGGCACTGAAGCTGGGAGAGAGGACATAAGCCATTAAGTTTGTGGTCATTTGCCGCAAGCCTTGGGGAATGAATGCAGGTGCCTTCATCAATCACAGTGGTTGCCCCTCTCTAGATCTGAGCTACTCTGGCCCTTGGGGGTTTTGCTTTGTTCCCGATCCCCTCCTGTAGCCATCTGGTAAACCCAGCAATGGCTCCCATCCTTCTACTCTGATCCTGCGGCTTTCTGACATCTACGTTCTCCCTTCTCCCTAGTTATCCTCCTGGACTCCAAAGCCTCCCAGGCTGAACTGGGTTGGACCGCTCTGCCAAGCAATGGGGTAGGTGTTAAACTGTCACTCCATCCCAAGGTTCTCTAGTTCAGTCCCTTTAGCATCCGGTGTTCACCTAGGATCAAAATGTACCACAGGAAGTCCCCACCCACGCTCATGCAGGCAATCTTGGTTAAATGTACTGGGCCACACACACACACACAAAGATACGTCAGTAGGAGGGCGACTTTGCTGGGAAGAAGTAGTTTGGTGGGGGGAGGAGATAAGAGAGAATAATAGAGAGATGTGGCTAAAGTACATTATACATTATAAAATTGTGAAGGAATTTAAAATATTTCAATCATTGATTTATTTATTGTGTTTATGTATGTGTGTATATGTGTTGGTGCCATGATGTGTGCAAGTGGAGATCAGGACCACGGGTGAGAGTCCATTCTCCACACACCATGTGGGTCCTGGGGATCAAACTCAGGTCAGGTTGATGGCCTTTACCCACTGAGGCTTCTCAGCTGCCCCGTGAAAGTATTTTTGTTTTGTTTTGTTTTTTGACACAGGGTTTCTCTGTGTAGCCCTAGTTGTCCTGGAACTCCCTCTGTAGACCAGGCTGGCCTTGAAATCAGAGATCTGCCTGTCTCTGCCTCCTGAGTGCTGGGACTAAAAGATGTGTGCCACCACTGTCTGGCCCTATGAAAGAATTTTTAAAGATATGCCATAGAGTTTGTATTCTCTAGAACCCTTGGTATCAAGCCAGAGTGGCTTTACTAGAAAATACCAAGTCTTCAGTAAGTCAGTCAAATAAATAAAAAGAGAACTGGCTGTGTCTAGGAACAGAAATGTAAGCTGGATGGGACAAATGCTGGGCATTGCCTCATACACAGTAGACCCCTAAGTAGCTGTCAGTTATTGACAGAGTAAGCAAGGTGGGGTGGGGTGAGGAGGAAAGGTCACTGAGCAGAGAGTTGGGTGACTCTAGGTACCTCCCTAGCTCTGCCATAGACTCACTGTGCCCATCCAGTCAAGCGGTTCAGTTTCCTCATCCACAAAAATAAAGGTTGTGGCCAGGTGGTGGTGGTGCATGCCTCTAATCCCAGCATTTGGAAGGCAGGGGCAGGTGGATCTCTGTGAGTTTGAGGCCAGCCTGGTCTACAGAGTGAGTTCCAGCACAGCCAGGGCTACACAGAGAAATCCTGTCTCAATGCTTGGTTTTCAGCACACATTTTAAATTAGGATGATGTAGGGAAGATCAGTATAGGCCCTGCAAGAATAACATGCAAATCCACAAAATGCTGCATATTTTAAAAAGAAAAGCGAAAGCCAGGTGTGACAACTCCTGTCTGTAATCCTAGCACTCTGGGGCTGAGGGAAGAAAACTGATGTGAGTTTGAGGCCAGTCTGGGATATATAATGAGCTTAGGACCAGCCCAGGCTATAGAATGAGATGCTGTCTAAATAAATAAATAAATAAATAAATAAATAAATGGAAAAAGATTGGAACGGCCTCATGCCACAGGCCTGTAAACCTAGCTATTCGGAAAGTTGAATCAGGAGGACTGTAACTTTCACCCTGTCTGATTGACAGAGTGAGTTCAAAGCCAACTTGGACAACTTAGTTGAAGCAATATCAAATTAAAAAGAGGAAAGAGGTCTGTGGTAGAGTGCTTGCCCAGTATGCCCAAGGATCTAGGTTCAAACCCCAGTACCCGGAAGAAAATGGATATGACTTGGTCATTTCCGAAGTGTCTCCTCTTTCTGAATTTTGTCATATTTAGGGGCTTGTACGATAGGAGGCGGGGAGGCAGATGTGAAAAAGGTGGACAAAGGCCAGTGCTTAAGCTCCGGGCTCTAAGGTGTCCACCTCTGTACTTTTGCCTCAGTGGGAGGAGATTAGCGGCGTGGACGAACATGACCGTCCCATCCGCACGTACCAAGTATGCAACGTGCTGGAGCCCAACCAGGACAACTGGCTGCAGACGGGTTGGATCAGCCGCGGCCGTGGGCAGCGCATCTTCGTGGAACTGCAGTTCACGCTGCGCGACTGCAGCAGCATCCCTGGCGCCGCGGGCACCTGCAAGGAGACCTTCAACGCTTACTACCTGGAAACCGAGGCCGACCTGGGCCGTGGGCGTCCCCGCCTAGGAGGCAACCGGCCCCGCAAGATTGACACTATCGCAGCCGATGAGAGCTTCACGCAGGGCGACCTAGGGGAGCGCAAGATGAAGCTGAACACAGAGGTGCGCGAGATCGGCCCCCTCAGCCGGCAAGGCTTCCACCTGGCCTTCCAGGATGTGGGTGCATGCGTGGCGCTGGTCTCCGTGCGTGTCTACTACAAGCAGTGCCGTGCCACAGTGCGGGGCCTGGCGTCCTTCCCAGCCACAGCAGCCGAGAGTGCCTTCTCCACGCTGGTGGAAGTGACTGGAACATGCGTGTCCCACTCGGAAGGGGAACCTGGCAGCCCTCCCCGCATGCATTGCGGCGCCGACGGCGAGTGGCTGGTGCCGGTGGGCCGCTGCAGCTGCAGTGCAGGATTCCAGGAACGTGGTGACATCTGTGAAGGTATCTATGGCATCTGGAGGGATGGGATGGGGACATAGCATTCAGGTGTCAGGAAAGAGTGTGCCCTCGCTGAAGAAGCGTGAGTGGAAGTGGAGAAGCCATAGGAGGAGCTGGAGGTCAAGACCTTTTGTGCGGTTTCTAGTGGGCTTAGCCAAGACCTACTGGAAGAGGTGAATCTGATCCCATATAAATATATATTAGGAACCAGGGGTAGCGGTTCCTGTAAAACCCAACCCCCAGATGTTGAGTCAGGAAGAATGTGAGTTCAAGGCCAGACTCGGCTACATAGTAAGATGCTGTCTCAAACAAACCAAACAAAAACAAAAAGGTAGAGATCTGTACTTCAGGCAATATGATAGATTCCCATTACCAAAGAGGTGAGTGGCTACCTCACTTGCAAAGTGAGAAATGGGCAGTCAAGACTAGAATCCAGGTTTGCCCAGCTCTGGGAACCTATTGCTCCACCATGCCTCCTTCATGCATAAGAAAAAACTCCACAGCAGTCCAAACCTCAGGATAGCATTCCAGGAACTTCACCTTTGACCACATTTAAGTCAGGCTCTCGGGGCATCTCAGAGCTCAAGGGTGGCAGCTTGCACTAGATGGCTCCTAGAATCCCACTCAGCTTTCTGAAGTAGAATCGCTGTGCCACTGGGGGTATTTCCTGGGTCCCTGGGTCTGTGGCTTCGAAGCAGGATAGGGTGGGATCCAAAGTGTGTGCATTTGGTCGGAAGGTTCAAAGGATGTGTTTCCTGTGTGTGTGTGTGTGTGTGTGTGTGTGTGTGTG